TTTTTTTTTTTTTTTTTTTTTTTTTGAGATTTTTTTGAGAGAAAGATCATCTTTATTTGGTATTTTTTAAAGTAGAATGTGATAAGAGAATGTTTGAAGAAAATTGAATGTGTTTATTACACACTCTTTGGAATTGATTTGTGATGAATGAGGAATATAGTCTACATTTGTTTTGTTTTTTTTTTTTATTTTAATTAATCGGTGATATATAATTGTATGATTGGAAGGAACGTCGATGTCCTAGTCGAATTCATTTTGCAAGGATTGTTTTCTAGAAGCGTATTCATTCCGGTGCATTTATATTGATGATCTCAAATCGCGTATAGATTGTGAAACGATTTCTCAGTTACCGTTTGTATTATTTCGAAATAAACATCGAAGCGTTGAAAAATTCTCGTTTAATCGATGCTCGATTTCTTATTGAAAAAGAGCATTAGTTCAACGAGAAAAAAATAAAACGATTAAAAATGCGATATCGATTTTATTTAACTCTTATTTTCATGGCCTTAAACGAATGATCAAATGACGAAAAAACGCTATTTTCAAATCGACTATTCTTTCTTAGCCGACCACACATGTATTCAGACACATACACATACACATGGTATACGTGGCGCATCGATTTGTGTTAAATCATTGGTCGATCGTGATATATACGAATCGGGTGCTTCTCGATCCAAAGACATGCGCTACCATTCTCTCACAAAGAGATTTATTTTTCTATAAAAAAAAAAATTGTATACTTACTTGGTTGTGCGAATAGTTGGAAATTATGGATGTGTTTGCCTCACGAAGACTCAACGTGTTATAGAACAGCGATTATATCAATTGATTTTTACTTTATTTATTATTTTTTTCGTTTGCTTTCTATCCGATTCCTAATGACAAAGTTCATCTTCTTAGAGAAGAATATATTAGATGATTAGTCTTGACTAAATTGCCTACGACACGTTGAGTCTTTCCAAGGCAAAAATATGGAGCGACTATTATACAGCAATATGTAGGCGAGAGAAATTTTTTGTACACTGATACTATTTTCACGACGACAATGATCCGACTGCCGTCATCTCGCATACGATATTTAACACACGTATATGTATATGTACACAGAAGTTACGCTATCGAGAATTATTGTAAGCTTTTGTATAATACCGAACGCGCCCCTAATCGCCTATTTACACATTCTTAGATTTACGAAAAGCGATGTACATTCGAAGAAAGATCGTTTCTATTCTTAAAAACCGGTTAAGCTAAGCTATTAGACAGTATCATTCAGATTTAATCGTATTTTCAACTGGTGCAATTGTACATATGGGTTTAAAGATCTCTTTTATTAAAAAAATTCTTATAAATACGAATATTTCGAATCCGCAAATTTGGCTTAAATTTTATGAATAATCGTTCCGCTCTATGCATAATATCTTGAATAGACGCGTGATAAGGAATATTATTGCATAGAGTGTATTCTTATCGCGCACTTCTCTCTTCAGTACGTATTTTAATTCAAACGCTCCGATTTTATCATTCAATTACAAAATGAAACGCTGTGAACAATTTACACCTAACTTTTTTCCTAATGGAATTCTATCACGAAATCCTATAATCGAACGGACAAAATAAATTAAAAATTAAACGCGTATAATAATACGTTCTCCCCAATCGACTCGCGAATCAATATTGTAAATATTTAAATGCGCGATCATATTCAATCGTCTGTCTCCCGTCCTAAGGCGTCTCTGAATTAATAATTAAAATGAAGCGAATACACGATATTATTCGAGATTTTTTTGCCACGAATTCGCGAGTAATCAGGCATAATCGCGTGCAATTGTAAATAATATATCTACGATATAAGTTAAAATATAAAAAGCGTACTTCCATGAATCTATAAGCTGTAAGATAAACGAAACGACATTTAAACGTTTAAGATTGCGTTGTACATTATCACGAATACTTCCCCGATTTTTCTATTGCGTGTGATACGTTGATCATTTTATCGATTTTTTTAAATATTGTTGAATATCCAACCCTTTTTAATTGTAATTTAAAACGTTAAGTTTAATAATACATTGAAGACTCGGTACGCGAAAGCAACGTTTTTGAGATGAATTTTTTTTTTTAATTTAATTTATTATATGTACGTTATCCTTTGGATATTAAAACTACGTCGAAATTATAATGAATTTCTGCAAATAAAAATAATCATGGAAATAAAAGAAAATACATACATATGGACGTTCGTTTTCGACTGAATACCTGTCTTCAAGGTGTACACGTTGAATTTCTACGATTCTGTATTTTGCAAATGTATCATATTAAAAATCCAAACAAGAAATATATATGAGTATATACATTTGGTACATACTTATATATATTTGTATCTCGTACATTAAGAACGCGATATTATAACTCATAGGAACAAAGTTTTTTAATAAAACGATGGAATTATTCCAAAAATTATGGAGATGTTTTTTTAGACAACCAGCAAATATTTTATTTAGTTAAAAATATCAAATAATATAGTGAACAATCTTGCAAGAATAACAATTCTTGGTTTAAATATTGTGGTTTAAATATTATGATTTTGCACTACGTTTTTTAAGTGCATTATTAACTTTCTTCTTAAATTCATCTAAGTTTATATTATCCTTCTCTTCCTTTTTCTCTTTAGATGCTTCTTCAGGAGGTACAAATGCTTGCGCCCTACGTTCCTGTCTTCTTTTCTCAGCCTCCTGGTGCTTGATATCTTGTTCTCTCTTCTTCTTGGCTCTTTTCTGTTCCTCGTTCAAAAAATATTCTCCTGTACTTATCATCTTGTCTATCTTGCTCTCTTGTTGAGGAGGTGGGAATGGAGTATACGGTTTTTTCTCTTTCTTATTCTTCGGCTGCTTTCTCTTGTTAATATTTTTACTACTGAATTTAGGCAAAAATCTCTCCCAATTTTCATTCTTTAATTTTGGATCTTTTGCCAATTCTCTCTTAATCATCAACGCTTTAATATTATAAATAGGATGAATGTTTTTCATAGTATCTTCAACAATACGTCTAACTAATGGAAGACTTCTATAAGGACCTAATGCAGCCACTGTCTGTCCTTGTACAAGAACATAACAATTTGTCAACAATTCAATGGATTTCAAAGTGCATCCTTTTGGTCCTATAAGCCTCTGACGTCTCTTGACAAACTTTTCTCGGTTTCTTACAAACGAAGATATTTTTATAATATCTGAGCTAATATCATCTTGAAGTACTCTAACTGCTTGTTCAAAAGGAACAGATCTTGACATAAGTTTGATCATATCACGAGCTTTAATTATAATATATGGATCCCATGTTTTTCTAGTGGTTTTCACAGTCATACTACCTTCAATGAAATCTAATTCAGCTTTGATTGCATAATCGTCTAAAGCTTTCTGAATCAATGGCCAATGTTCTTTTAAATATTGTTCTCTGTATTTTGGGAACAAAGTTGCAAATGAACTTTCTTGAAGTAAACGATTAGGATTATCCTCAGCTTTAAAAGATGGAATTTCTAATGACCAAGCATTGTCCACTGGACCCGTTATCTTGGAATCATCTTCTTTTTCAGAATCACTCATTTTTTATATAATATTTTTGTAATAATATTTAATTTTCAATTTTTTAATATGTATTAATTTCTATCATCGCACTAACTTTATCAATCGAGACTCGATTGATTATATTTAGTTTATGAAATAAAAATTAATACTTTAATATAATCGCACTATTTTGAAATTGCATTTATAACAAAAAATTTCAAAAAATTTATTTTTAATCACTCCACGTGATACTTAAACATACCGTTCCTAATTTTAAGGTTATATTGTTGATTTTCATTGAACAATGAACACAAATATAATATAGAGTCCGAGAATATCTATTACTTTCTTTAGTAACGCCATCTCTTGAAAAGTATTGAAACTCAAGTGGTATACTCAATTTTCAATACTTTACCATAGATCATAGACAGGATAGATACGACATCTTATAAGATTTTTGTGTTACATTCTCAAATATCGACCATGAAAAAAGCAGAGTAATTTTTACAATCTCTGCAATTTATTATGGCTAACATAGAAACTACATTTATCTTATTCTCGAAAAAAGATATACATACATGTATATATTTATATATACATGTATGTATATGCAAGAGACTCATTATACCTATGATTCCATGCTTCTTTACTTAAAAATTTATTTAAAATTAATAATAAATTTTCTTTTTTTTGATGTAGGTTTGCAAAACATTCGATTCTTGATCAAATGTTTGTGCAAAACAAACAACAAAAGAACTCCTAAGATATAAGTTAATCTCTGAAAATAAAAATTAAATTATATCTTAATTATATACAACTCTACATAAAGCACACACATTACTTCACATACATAAATCAATATTTTATATATTCATTGCCATGAAAATATAAAATATTGATAATTAATTAAAAAATTTAAATATATTCCACACAGTTCCAGAATTTTTACTTACTATTACTATTATCATTTATTCTGCATGCATTTAAAACATATTCTACTTTAAGCACTAAAGCAACCTATAGCAACAGTTCTATGAGCCACTTATTTATATTCTAAAACTTTTATTTAGAAATATTGGAATATATGGATGAATTCCTAAATATATTTTAAAAATATCCTTAAAAAAAATATGATTCCTAAGGAAATTCAAAATAATCCAATTCATCTAAACCTACAATTCCTTGTAATCCCTATCTATATATTAGTTAAATGCTTATTTTAATCTTTATTTAGCATAAAACTAATATCTTCCTATATAATTTAAAATTTATATAGGAAACCTACCTACACAAAGATATAAAAGATATAATCAAGGAAAAAGTATTATATGAAGTATTATATGAAGTACCATCTTCTTTAATTGGCATTTCCTGAAAGGTTGACCTGAAACAAACTTATTTGAACGATTAGTATAATAATTAAGAAAAAAAAAGAAAAAAAGAAAAGGAAGAAACAAACAATATTGATTTGGAACAGTATAAAAAGATAAATTTTATAATGAACATTCACCATTATTGACTCTAAAAAATTTAAATGTTAAAAATGAATTTAAATTCGATATTTTGAAAAACTTAGAAAAGTTCTTACTTGCAATATTTTCTGCAACAAAGGTAAAATGTGATAAGGGATGCTGAAAAAAAAAACCTGAAAAACAGAAGGGCTACTAAAAAAAAAAATCTTCCACTTGATATGAACCCGAGCAACCGCGAATTGTTTTATATCGCAACACTAATAAACTAATATTTTATTTTTATAAAATAGAAAATTTTTTAAATCAACCACGATGAGTGCCTTATCATATTTGCAATATTGATTTAAATTAACAAAAAAAATATAAAAAAAAGCTGAAAAATTCCCGAAAACAATATTTATTATACGCAACACTACTCTATGCACTCAAATTTAAATAACGCAACACTATAGCGAGAAATCCAAGTGCAGTCTCCTTAATGACTGCTGTGTGATCACCCTTGCAGCTTTTTTAGCCACTTAAGGTGATTCAGGAACAGAAGCGTTGAGTATTTCCACAATCCAAGTGGAAAAAGCGTGGGCATTTAATATTCGCAACACTACTTACAAACGCGATTATTTATCAACGCAACACTACATTTTAAAACAAATTCAATAGAAATCATTACTTCTGTATGACTAGAAAGCTACTATTAGTTAAAAATCATGAATTTAAAAATAAAGCTATCAATTTAATATAATTAAAAAAATTAAAACAATTTATAATAATAAAAAAATCGCGATATCTTATAATTCGCAACACTAATGCAAACGCGACTCTCATTTTAACGCAATACTAATCCAAACGCGATTTTTACTTTAACGCAACACTAATACAAACGCGATTTTCATTATAACGCAACACTAATACAAACGCGATTTTCATTTCAACGCAACACTAATAAGGAAACGCGACAATTACAACGCAACTCTAATTCAACCCGTTATATTAATC